ACACACACACACACACACACATATATATATAATATTATATTTACCCAAATGATTCCAGTATGCTGCCAAGTGTGAAAAACAGTTACAAATAATGATAAAAATGTCAGATGCCATTTGCATTAATCTTTGAGGAATTTGGCTTGGTTGAGGATCCAGTGACTTCACTCCTACTTCCTTAGGTGTAGCTTCCCATGGTGAGAATCCCTGCAATAAAGCTGTCTTCTGAATGTCCCTTAAACTGAGGTCCTGGCCATCTCCCTTTCCCCCTCCCCCACGCAGGGCTTCTTTTTTTCACAGAGAAACAGAAGTGATGGGGTTCAAGGGAAAGGCCCATGATTTCATAGGATCTTTGAGTTGGAAGTTACTGAAGAAATCTTCTGGTCCTACTTCCTTCCCTCCATTGAAGAGAGTTCAGTGATTCTTTGGACAAGAGTGATATGATTTTACATTTCCTTGAATCATGTTGTTGTTATGTGCCATCGAGTCAGACCCGACTCATAATGACTCCTCCTTGGGTTTCCAAGGCAGTATCACTACGGAAGTAGATTACCCAACCTTCCTTCCAAGGAGTGGCTGGTGGGTTTGAACCACCAGCCTTCTGGTTAGCAGTCAAGTGCCATAGGCACTACACAGCCAGAGCTCCTGAATCATGCTGAGTGAAATCCAAATTACCACTTGCCTTACATAGACCCTCCAGCCTTAGCCAAGAGTTCCACAATTTGGAGGAATGAGGGCTATCATATTCAGCTAGATTCTATATCCCTTTCTTCTTCTGACAACCTCATGGAAAACATGGAAAGACTGTCTGGTTAGCCTCTTGGGGAAGGCAAGTACATGTAGGCAAATAGATATTCCTATTCACAAGTATGTTCAATATGGTGTCCCATTACTCTCTTGACCCCTGCCTTTCAAAGTGAGTTCTACTTCTGGAACTTTCCTGTACTTTATCATGATGACTTACGGAGGAAGACAAGAGTGGGGTCATTGGACATTTTCTTTGTGTACACTGGTGACTTTCAGGTACTTTATCCATCCTCTACTTCTTGTTGTTTCATGAGAGGAAATTCATGGCATGAGAGTTGTAGTCTCCAGGTTGAATCTCCTTCTATGTGGTACTCTACACCAGGCTGAGATCTCTAGCATTCCATAGGGTCCCCTTTAGTTTCTGTTCTTAGCAATCATACATTCCCTTGCTAATCCTTCACTCTAACCCCTTTTTAGTTTCTCACTCATGTTTCTCTCTGTCCAGGTGTCACCACTGGCCCTCCTACTACACTGCCAAGTAATCATTTGGAAGATAGCTCTTCCTACCACCTTAACCCTGCCCAGTCCCTCTCTTCTCCAAGAAGCACCAGAGACCTGGACAGAATCCTGGAGCCTGGGTACCTGGGCAGTAGTGGCTCATGGGACATGATGAGGCCTCAGAAAGGAAGTATATCTGGAGACTTATCCTCAGGCTCCTCTGTGTGCCAGCTTAACTCCAAACCCACAGGTAAAGCACAAAGCAGGGAGGGTTAACCTGTAAAATTAAATTGAATTCAGACTCTTTTAGCCTGTTTCATGTTTCACAGAGTGAATATAAAGCGAAAAAGCCCGAGCACATATATCTTCCTGATAGTGAGGTTGCACACCAGTGCTGGGTCCTTTCTATGTGTATCCCTTCACCCTCCCTGCCTAGGGCCTCAGTGTTCTGCAGCGGCATGGGGAAGCCAGGGACCCACCTTTGTACTCTGACCTTCATGTCCTCTTTCCTTCCTGCATCCTGATCCACTCTTAGCCCAGTCTTATACTCAAAGAATGACAAACTTGAACATTCATGGAGACAGTCTTCCATCAGACAGGAGTTGTAAGAGAAGGAAAGGCCATATCTACAACAGCTCCCCACTACACATGTATATCCTGTGCACTAATAACAATTTCAACTTTCCCTCTTAAGCCTAGCATCAATCATAGTCAGGGTCAAGACACATTATACCAAATGGAGAATATAGCTATGTAGGTGAATGTTCAGATGAAGCTCAGTCCCAGCAGTGAGGTAATTTTCAGAGAGACTGAAATGGTGGGGTTGATGTTGTCTTTTGTTAGCATCCTTTCATCTTCCCTTTTTTTGCACCATTTTCGTTTCCTTGGTGGAAGGGGACAAATGAGGGAGGGTGTGCTCCTTTCTCCTTGAGTTCACCTTCAGACCCTTAGATCTTTGTAGGCTCTCCTTTCTTCCTTTCATATTAAAAGTGATTTGAGGGAAGTATTGAGTATCATTCATTATCCTTAGAATAAGTTTAAGTCCATAGACTTTCAGGTGTTTTCTCTAAAAGTGGGGGGAAGAGCTCTGTTCCCTGATAAAAAATGTTCAGTCACAAATCAGTAAGAACTTAGGATAGAGTGAGGCCTTCTCTATCACCTTCAAAGTCATACCCAGGAGGTAGCCACACCTTTCCAGGTGCTGAGCAGGCCCTGTCAGGAGCTTGAAGTTGTTTTTCTAGCCCTTGTAGAACTCCTTTAAACTTACCAGCCCCCATGTGCTTGTTTAGCTTTGGGTAATCCTGTGTTTAGAGCCTATTTACTCTTTATACAAGTCACCCGTGTTCCCTGGGTACTTGTGAGAGGTTGAAGTTGGCAGAATGATGGTGATGTTTAGAGATCTTACCGAGGGGACAAGCCTTCCCCACACCCCTCACCACAGTTCTCCATCTCATCTCCCTGCCCTGGTGTGATGGTTGTAGGGGCCGACCTGCTAGAGGAGCATCTGGCTGAAATCCGGAACCTGCGCCAGCGCCTGGAGGAGTCCATTTGCATCAACGACCGCCTGAGGGAGCAGCTGGAACACCGGCTCAGCTCCACCACCCGTGGAGGCGGTAGGAGAGGCCCCAGTCTTCCAATTTTTTGGCCACATTTAGGGAGTTCTGTGGAGCACATCTGGGCAGGGCTTTGCAGTTTTTAAAGCACTTTAGGCTGTTTTATTTCACTTGTTCCTTATAAAAAGTCCAGCAAAGGAGATGGGGCAGGTCCTACTATCCCCACTTTGTGGATGAGTCTGAGCTCAGAAAGTGACTTTCCTCAATACAGAACTGGGTCTGGTCCCAGAATTGTCTGACCTCTCATCTCATCCTTTAACTGCTTATATACAGCCTACTGACTCCTCTGTGCCCTTGTTGTGTGACTGACAAGTGGTAGAGCCCAGGCCTTCAAAGTTCCCCTCCTCGGCCACTTCCCTACACTCTTCTCGGTTGCTATCACTTGGAGGCCATCCCTTGCACATACCCTTGTTCTGCCCACTCCACAGTGACAGCTCTTCAGAGGGAAAGAGCCCCTTGTACAATTGTAGGTTTGACAGGTAAAAATGCGTGGCAGTTACCACTGAGAAGAGACACATGAAAACCAAGCATGGGTCCCATTATACTGTAATCCCAGGGCCTTCTACTGAGTGTGACAGTATCTTTGGGATACACAGAATGGGAAATATTTGAAAGCATCTGTTACCCAAATATATAACTTGCCTGATTGCATTTTTTGGGGACAGGATCCTCCACTAACTTCTGCAATCAGAGCCTGGACTCCATACCTCAGCTCTACAATGAGAACAGGGTGCTCAGGGAAGAAAACCGGAACCTTCAGGCTCAGCTGAGTCACATTTCCAGAGGTATGTGGTCAAAAACCACAGACTGTGGCCACCCTTGATCCCTGTTTTCCCTGTCCATACCAATCACCAATGGGAGGAGAAAAGAGAAGAAGCTGCCCATATTCACCAACCCCAAATTCCCATAGTTATTCTTAGTCACTCCTCAGAAGGAAGGTTGAGCAATCTACTTCCGTAGTGATACTGCCTCGGAAACCCAAGGAGGGGTCACTATGAGTAGGGTCCGACTCGATGGCACATAACAACAACAACAACATTCTTAGTCTACAAAGGGTCATTAAACTCTGAGGGTTCAGGAGCAAATTGCTCTGTGAAATCCATCATTTCCATACACACCCCCACTGCAGATCCAGAGTCACTAGCTGTCTAATTGGATACTGGTTTGGTGTATGTTCTGATTCTCCCCACTCACCACTGATTTGGAACCAGGAAAGGAAAGGAGGACAGTGCCTGTATTCCCTCTCAAGTTTCTCCACATATTACTACAACTCTGTCATCCCTACAGTTCCTCACCACAGCCCCTCACTCATGCACTCAAGGCTCCTCTCTGTGTCCGGAGGCCCTAGCAACATGTGCTCCAGAGCTTTCCCAACCCTGTTCAATGGGCATCCACGTGGGCATCATTTCCTGAGATCTGAGAGGCAGCAGAGCCTAGTGTTAATTGAATTGATCAAATCAGTATGTTATCAGTAACAAATTATTTTTATTTATAAATATTTATTGAGCAACCATAAAACACTAAGAATAGTAACCAAAAAGATTAAGATCAGAATGAGTGAATGCTTATGGAAAAGGAAAATAAATAAATAAAATAAAATAAATAAGAGATAATTCTAAATTAGTCACCTCAGAGCAAGAAGACTTGAAAGGAAGATCACTGCCTGGAGAAGAAAACTAAAGTTAATAGATAAGAAAGAAGGCAGACCTACTAAACTCCCAATGCATGCTTGTTAAGCATAGAACAGACCTCCCAGGTAAGAAGATAGTATGAGATTCATTCAAATGCATACACATTTGTCACATTCAGTTGAATTCCATCCCAGAGGACTCACAGAACCTTCAGCCTTATTCTCAGAGTCCCCATCAATGATCTTTGAGAGATCATGAACATCAGAGAGATGCTTACAAGCCCAGAAAAGAACAAATGTCACAATTTCCTCAAGGATAAAAATATCTTCTAAAAACTGTAGGTAGGAAAACTTGATATAGATCTTTGGCAAAATTCAAGAATGGATTACTAAACTGATGGCAGGTAAGCACTTAGAAAATGATGGGCATTTGAAACCAGAATGTTTTCTCTGAGAGTAAGTTTGGTCACATTAAACCGGAGGGTCAAGGGCATTGCAAAGTAGAGGGCACCATTCCCCAGGGTGCGTGGGTAGAGCAAGTTGACACTCTTTTTGTTCACCAACACAAGTTTTTCCTTCCCTTTGCTTTCCTTCTGCTTGTCAGGACAGATGGGCTTAGCCTCATCTTCCTGCTGACCCTTGGCCCCACAATTTAAATACTCCTGTGTTCTGTTCACCAGAACACTCCCAGGAAACTGAATGCCTGAAGGAAGCTCTACTGTCATCACGATCTCGGCTTCAAGAGCTAGAAATGGAACTGGAGCACCAAAAGGTGGAACGGCAGCAGCTTTTGGAGGACTTGAAGGAAAAGCAGCAGGAGGTCTTGCATTTCCAGGAGGAACGAGTATCCCTCCAAGAAAAAGACTCCAGGTAAGAGTTGGCCCACTGGATAAGGAAGGTGACCCCGTTTTCAGATTTAGAAGAAAAGATACTGGCAAGACAGTCAATAGCTTCTTTTGGAAACCTCATTTTTCCCTCTGCCTATTCCTGCTTTATGGATGACTGTAGGTCCTTGAGTATGGTACAAGCAGTTTGTGCTTGACTACTAAACTAAAGGTTGGTGGTTTGAACCTAACCAGCAATGCTGTAGAAAAAAGCCCTGATTATTGGCTTCCATAAAGATTATAGCCAAGAAACCTTATAGAGCAGTTCTACTCTGTAACACATAGGGTCACCATGAGTCAGAATCTACTCGGTGACAATAGGTTTGGTTTTTTTGAGCAGAAGGAAGAATTTTTCTAAACTTTTTACTCCCAAGTTGAGAAAGTGAGATCCTGTTTGAGAAGTCTTCAGCATATCCAAAACTAGAGAAAGAACATTCTTATGCTTCCAGCCAGATATAGGACATTTAGTCTCACTATTTGTTGTTGTTGTTGTTGTTTTGCCATCGAGTCGGCCCCGACTCATAGCGACCCCTCCTTGGGTTTCTGAGGCAGCATCACTACGGAAGTAGGATTGCCCAACCTTCCTTCCGAGGAGTGGCTGGTGAGTTTGAACCGCCAGCCGTCTGGTTAGCAGGCAAGTGTCTTAGCCACTATGCTACCAGAGCCTAGGAGGAGGAGTCTCACTATAAGCTAGGAAAATTCTCCACCTGCCATGATGCTTCTCCCCCAGCATAAGCCTTATATGTTTGTCAACATGAAAACTAACTGCAACCAGCAGTAAGAAGACTGTGCTGGTGTGTCTGTTCCGCCACTAGCTAATGGTATGACTTCGATCAAGTTACCTTACCTCTCTGAGTCTCTGTTTCCACATCTGTAAAACAAAAGGCATTGGGCTTCATAACGTCTGAGTTGACATCTAGGCAAAAGCCTGATGCAAAGGTTAACTCTCAGCTTCTTGCCCTGGTGTGGCTGGGGTGCTGACAGCTCAGTGGCCCGTCCGTCTCCCCAACAGGCTGCAGCACAAACTGACCCTCCTGCAGCAACAGTGTGAAGAGAAACAGCAGCTCTTCCAGTCCCTCCAATCTGAGCTACAGATCTATGAGGCCCTTTATGGCAATTCCAAGAAGGGGCTGAAAGGTATGTGCTCCTCTCCCTCCCACACTCCTAGTGCCTTCCCTATGAGCTCCTGCCCTTGCTTAGGACACAGTGAAGTCTTTTCCTTGAGGATTGTGGAGCTCTTGGAAAGCTACAGAGTCCTAATTTGCTGAAGGTAAAGTGAAATGAAACTTAAATAAATACAGGGATCACACAAGGCTGAGAGAGGAGCTTACGTACCAAGATCTAGAATCTGAAATACATGTGGCAAGTATGGGGTTGAGAGAAGACCAGTCTGATTATAGAAGTTTTGCATTGTGGACTTGTAGGACAAAAATTTACATTTTATGTAGTAAGCAATGGAAAATACGTATGTTTCCTCAAGCAAAAAAGTTAAAGTTCTGATGAAACCAGAACTGTAAGCTGGTGAATGTGGTGGGACATACTGGAGTTGGGAGACATTTGAATCAGAGAAATCTCTTGGTTGAGTGTAGTGATATTCTGGGCATTCAGTGATGTGAGTCACATATAAGGTGCTATGGGAAAGGTAAAGAAGAACGACTAGACAAAAACATTTTAAAGAAAGAAAAGGCAAAAATTAGTTAGAATTTAGATTTAAGGAATGAAAGAGAGGCAGGAATATCGCAAAACATTGGGGTTAGTTCCTGGAAGCCACTTCTGTATGACTTCCCATTTCGTGCATTTTGCCCCTTCTATGGTTCATTTAGGATTCATTTCAAAGCTGCTATCACTGAAGGGCCATAATCCCTCATCCTTAATTCTAAAATCCAGTAAGATCTCTGAATCTAAAGCTTTTTTTTTTAAAAAAAAATATTTATTGTTGACAAAACTGAAGTGATAAATGGCTATTCATAGTCTTCAATTATCTCACTTAATGAGAACATCCACAAAGTTCAGTACAGAAATGCTAATGTATTTCATTAAGGGCTGTGGCCCCAGAACCAAATGGTTATATAATGTAATATATAGTATATGTGTGTCCTATTACCTGGTTAAAAATCAGAATAAATTCTACACTTTGAAATACATTTGTCCCTAAGGCTTTCAGATAAAGAATTGTGCCTTTGTAGAATATTTCTCTAGTATTTGTATCCCTCACTATGTAGAAATAGGCTGTGTTTGATGAGTAGAGGTAAAACACATGGGGAAATTGAAAAACTCTTGTGGTTATAATCCTTGTTTATGGTGCCAACACCCATTCTTACACACTCCCAATAGTCCTGATGCTTCCTCCTCCCTCTCTTCTTTGATTCCTGACTGTAGTGGTCCTCAAATCTCCTTCCCCTTCAGAATCTATAATTTTCTAGTCCAGTGCTCACCTCCTGCCTGGGAAGAACCTGCTCTCTAGCTACAGGACTAAGGTTAATACAGGCATACCTTGGAGATACTGTAGGTTTGATTCCAGACCACTGCAAAAAAAGCAAGTATCTCAGTAAAGCAAATCATATGAGTTTTTTGTTTTCCCAGTATATATAAAAGTTTTGTCTACACTATGCTATAGTCTATTAAGTGTGTACTAGCATTATGAAAAAGTTTGAAATATTGTGAGAATTACCAAAATGTGACACACAGACACAAAGTGAGCACACTGTTGGAAAAATGGTGCTGATAGACTTGCTCGATACAGGGTTGCAACAAACCTTCAATTTGTAAAAAATGCAGTATCTGCAAAGTGCAATCAAGCAAAACACAATAAAATGAGGTATGCCTATATTGAAATGAAATAAGACACTGACATTCTCTGCCTATCACATGCCTTCTGGGTGCATGTGGGCACATGAACTTCAGCAAAACTCCTTCCTGGGGGCCTGCCATCCAAGTGTGCTGCAGGCCCCTCATGGGAAATGTGAAATCACTATCACAGATGTGTTGCCATTGTGTGTTGTCCACGACCCTGAAAATACAGTGGGGTCCCCAGAAGAAAGAGAAGTCAGAGAGGTGTGTTCTGACAAGTGCTTGCATGTCCTTGGATTGGTACTACTAGGCCCCTCTTCTTCTTTCAGCTTACAACTGGAATGCCTGTCACCAAGTTCCCTTGAGCAGTGACTTGAGCCACTTGGTGGCAGAGGTTCGAGCTTTGAGAGGGCAGCTGGAGCAGAGCATTCAGGTGAACAATTGTCTGCGGCTGCAGCTGGAGCAGCAATTGGATGGCGGTTCAAGCAAAGCCAACCTCAGCCCCTCCTCCCCTGTTACCCAAAACTTCCTAGTCAACACGGACTCTGGGGACAAGCAGCCATTCTTCCAAGGTAGGAAGGAAAAAGAAATTAGGAACCACTCCGGTAGAGGGCAGGTCACCAGGATGTCTAAAATGGAAGGGACAGTCTTGCCTCTGCTATGCTCTTGGGTCAAGTTGAAATCAGAGATGTTTCAGTATGAAATGTCATACTCAATCAATATGAAACATCAATATGGGACATCATAGTCTTACTGAGTGAGAGCTTGAGACTGAGGGTCAGACCTGGCTCCATGTTCTGAGTTCACCAGTTACAAGTTGTTTATCTTTGGCAAGTTGTTTAAACTCTTGGTATTTAAGCCTTGGTTTCCACATCTTTAAGATGAATATGATAATAATATATATCTTGGATGGTTATTGGAGTCTCTGGGTGATTTAAATGTTTAACACACTCGGCTGCCAACAGAAAGGTTGAAGGTTCAAGTCTACCCAGGAGTCCCTCAGAAGAAAGGCCTGGCATTCAACTTCTGAAAAGTCAGCCATTGAACACCCTCTGGAGCAAAATTCTAGCCTGGCATACAGAGAGTTGCCATGAGCCAGAATCAATTGAAGGCAACTGGATGGCTGTATTGTTATTTGGAGAATTAAATGAAAGAATTTATAAGTGCCTGGCACAAGAAGAATTGCTTAGTAATGAACAGCTGTATATGCTAAAATCTGATCCTTGTATTTGTGTAGCACAAATTAACCATGTATTTTCAATGACTTCTTCTAAGGTAGGGCAAGAGAAAACTTAGGCATCAAGACAATAACTGACTTGCTAAGGTTTATAGGAGTCAGGGAGAGAACTAGAATTAGAACCAGATTTTTTGATCTCCAGTCTGTGTTCCTTGCATCATGCCGGGCTGTGTCTTGCTGCCCTGCTCATAATCTCCAGCCTGAGTTCCCTATCCCTAAAGCATGCAGCGTTCAGCTGTGTGGCAACACGGTCCTGTCCCTAAGGAGATCAGAATGGTAGTGAGGGGGAAAGTATTGAGTGGCAGGCACCTTTATTCCAGGAGGCTGCCATCCCCTTCTTCTACCCTGCCTCTTCCCTGTCTTTTCAGATGGCATGTTTACCCAGTTCTCTCCTGCTCTCACCGTCTCTCATCAATCTCAGTTCCCCAAGTTTCAGTATGAATGCTAATGCTCTTCCCAAACCCCAGGCTCTTAAACTTCCATTTCTTCTCCCTCTTCTTTTTCTTTTGATGTGCCATTAATTCACCATATCCACTCACCTCCATAACCATACCCTTAATTTTATTCTAATCATGGACCACTTGTGCTCATGCCTTCTTCTCCTAGATCATGTTCATCTTTATTGTTCTCTGACTTTATTAAATGCTCATTTATGAGACAATGACTCATCTGTCACATGAAGATGATCCTCATGTGATCGTATTGTTGTGACTCCGAGCATTGTTTTGTTGTTGTTATGTGCCGTCGAGTTGGACCCGACTAATAGCAACCCCTCCTTGGGTTTCTGAGGCTGTATCATTATGGAAGTAGATTGCCCAACCTTCCTTCCAAGGAGTGGCTGGTGGGTTTGAACACCAGCCTTCTGGTTATCAGTCAAGTACCTTAGGCACTATGCTACCAGAGCTCCTTGACTCCAAGCATAGTACCTGGCAAGTAGAAACTGCTCATACATGTCAGGTGCATGGCCTGCCCTACCTGGCAGGGCCAGTGATGGTTGTAGTGTTCAGTTACATTTCCTTCTCTTCCTGCTTCCCAGCTTTCCCATGATACCAGCCAACACTCAGCCCCATTTGGCTCAGTCACTCCTCCTCCTTCTCAACCAGCACAGAAGCTCGAGCAGGAGACTAGGCTCTGAGCCGTATTTACCTGAGCAGGGTCGTTTTTAATCTTTGTGATATTTTTCCATTCCTCCACTATAGAGTTTCTTCCACCAACACCTCTGTCTCCTCTGCTTCTCATACTGCTAAATTGTTTCCAGTCCCAGCTCACACAAATGGTGACAGAATGTTGAGTTTAATCCCTCATCCTTCCATTCATTTTTGGATTCAACATTTTAAACACATATGTTGTTGTTGTTGTTGTGTGCCGTCAAGTCGGACCCAACTCATAGCGACCCCTCTTTGGATTTCCAAGGTGGTATCACTACAGAAATAGATTGCCCATCTTCCTTCCGAGGAGTGGCTGATGGGTTTGAACTGCCAGCCTTCTGGTTAGCAGTCATTATGCCTTAGGCACTACGCTACCAGAGCTCCCTACAAACATATAGTATGTATATTTATACATATTTACATTTAGTTACAAGGCATTGTATTAGACACCACATGCAAATTTATATTCAATGTGGTATATTAGAAAAATATACCTAATAATTTATCAAACTAGAAGTGGACTTTTTTCACAGAATACCCTTCAGTTAAAGGAACATCTTTTTGCTCTGAAGAATGAAGCTTACCAAACTGAGGGGTTTATTTGCTATTGCTATTGCTTTTGATTGTGGTATGGGGTGATACTCATGTAAGAAGTGAGTTGTGCTGCATCTCTGGTGAAGACAAGGCTGTGCATGTGTTTGGTGGGCAGTGTGCTCCAAGGTTCCTGACAGTGATCATGTTCTTCACCCCATAGATTCAGTGCCTTCCCCTCCGGTTCGGGATGTTGGCATGAGTTCTCCGGCTGTGGTCTTCCCCACCTCTTCCTCTGCTCTTGGCTCAGAGACCTCTGTCTTCAACAGGACAAATGGTAAATACGGGAACTGAAGGACTCAGGAACTGATGATGGAAGCATAGTGCTGCAAGCCACCCTTGGTTATTTATATGCATATTATCTGAATTTGGAGATTCTCCACGTGCCCCAAGGCTGTTAGCCCTACCTACTTTCTGTGGCTGTCTTTCTGTACCTACCTTCTATCGCTGTGTTTTTGGATTATTATTCTTCCTGCTATGATTTTCCTCCTGCTCCGTTTTGTTTCATTGCACTGTCATCTCTCTATTCTTAATAGTGCTCTCTGTATCCAGCTTGATTACTTTATCTGTATCTTCTCTATCTGAAAATTGTTATTTATTAATAATACTTTTAGTGAATATTTCATTTGTCAATGAGAATATAATTACATCCTGGCAGTTTTGTCATTATGAGATAATTTAAGAAAGAATAAAAATATAGAAACCAAAATATTGCTATGGACTTCACCTTACCCTTTTACTTTCCAAGATTGCCTTTCTTATTCCTGGTGGACTCTTGTATTATTTGATATCTCTTTTGGATTGAAGTAATGAACTCTGATGGTACAGTTGTTAGAGCATTTGGCTGCTAACTAAAAGGTCAGTCGTTAGAACCCACCAACTGCTCCACAGGAGAAAGATGAGGCAGTCTACTTTCATAAAGATTTACAGCCTTGGAAACCCTTTGGGGGCAGTTCTACTCTGAACTATAGGGCCACCATGAGTCAGAATCAACTTGATGGCAGTTGGTTTTTTTTTTTTGGATCAATACAAACTGAGGAAATGTTTATGAATAACACTGGATTCTGTTTAGCTGTGGTTTTGTTTTTCAGAGCTGAGTTCAGATGCTTCTCCAGTAATGAAGAACCCTCCCAAGCTGGAGGGTGATGCTACTGATGGCTCCTTTGCCAATAAGCACGGTCGCCATGTCATTGGCCACATTGATGACTACAGTGCCCTAAGACAGCAGATTGGGGAAGGCAAACTGCTGGTCAAAAAGATAGCATCTCTCATGAGATCAGCATGCAACTTCCCTGGCCTTGAAGCTCAAGGCACAGAGGTAATCCCATCTATGGTTCTTAGGTACATGTTATCCTGATTGCCCTTTCTTCTGATTTTAGCTCATTCTCTCACTATTTTTTTTTTCATCCTCTACATCTTCCAGAAGCTAAAATTTCATTTATTTAATCCAGCTGACCCTTTCTCCACTACCTCTTGTTTCCAGTGTTAACTCAGCTCTGTTCTGGGTGGAGCTGACTTGGTGTTTCCCCTCAGTACCACTGAAAAGCCACTGTAGCATTCTCATCATCCTTAGCAGAGCATTTGCTTAGTATCCACATGTACACGGTACTAGGCTGTGCACCCTTTGGTAGTTTATTATCTGTTATAGTCACACTGGAACAGGCTCCCTGAGGGCAGAAAAAAAAAAAAAAAAAAAACCTATGGAGTCAGTGAGAAGTTGAGGGAATTACATCTTCCTAGTGCACATGTGTGGAATGGGCAAGACACTTGGCAGCTGTGGTAGTTATGTTTGTGTGTCAATTTGGCTGGGCCTGGTTGAATGGCTGGACAGCTGATGGTAGTTATTCGGTATGATGAGATTGGCAATCAACTCTATGGTGGGATCTACTACAAGCAGCTGAGTAGCTGCCTTTGGGATGTAGTCTGCTTCCTGTATATAAGGAGAAGCCTTGGAAGTGGTCTCTAGCCTATGACACACTTGGACCCTGCACGTAGCCGTGTTGTTGCTCAGCAGCCTGCTATGCTCTGCTGACGTTGGGACTTACGATGGACTTAAGTTAATGGCCTGCCATGTGGTTTGGTAACGTCAGGACTGTGCCTTTTTACTTGTCAACCTTGGGGCTTCTCAGCCTCAGGAGCCAGCAGCTGTCTGAGTGAAGCAACACCTCTAGCTCCAGTGGGCCGGGAGCAGGAGGCAGAGCTGGACCCCAAGGTTGAGGGGCTTTCACCCAGCCCCTAGAGCCTGGCACTTTGGACTTGGATGTAAAGCCTCCAAATTGTAAGAATAAACTCCTGTTTGTTAAGGCCATCCCATTAGTGGTATATATTCCTGTCAGAGCGGCACTAGGGAACCAGAACAGCAGCCATGGCGTCTTCTTGTTCAGCCTGAGCAGGGGCGGGAAAGCAGTTAGTGCTGATCTTCTGAGTGCTTCTCTGTTGAGAGAGACCAGGCACCCATTACCGAGTCACAAGAGATGCTTCGATGCCCAGGAATAGCCTCTCTGCCTCCAAGGAGATGCCACACAAGAGGGGAAGATGCACATCCACATAAGTGAACAAATGAAGTGCTATAGGTATAGGGTTAGAAGTTGTCCTGTGTATTGTGAAGGAACGAATGGAGATGTAGCCATTCATACTAAGGATGGAAAGTTACAGTTTCGCAAACCATGTCACAAAAAGGATGAGTTTTGAAGCCGAGCAGGTTCTGTAGGTAGAGAACGGCATTCCAGGAAAAGGAGGTAGCATCTCAGTGCTCGGAGGCACAGATGGTTCAGCACAGTCAAAGCATAGGATGTGATTTGGAGAAGAGAGAGGGTTACCGGTGCAAAAAAAAGGTGGGGATCTAAGACTCGATAGCCTTTATCTGCTAATAGAAAGCTTAAAGAGAGAGTGTAGGAGAAAGCTTGAGTCAAATGAATTCTTGTGAGTGGTAGGTCCCTGCTATGATCACAGATCTGGGTTGCCAGGTTAGGAAGGGATTTCTCAGTTCCTGCACACCTGTGTGCTGTGCCCCTGCCCCCATACTTGGGAGGTGGGGACAAAAAAAGAGTGGCCTTTTAGCCCAGTGGGGTCCATCTGTTCCCCCTGTCCAGGTGCTCAGCAATGAACATGCGCATGAGCTTTGGAGCAGCACCTGTGCCCTGCACCACACCTTGGAAGAGTCGGTCTCCCTCCTCAACATGTTCTGGCGAGCGGCCTTACCAGACAGCCACAGCCCTGCTCAGCCTGGCAAAATGGTAAGAGACCAATGTTCTTTATTGGATTCAGAACCAGATCTTCTCCAGATATCATTCTTTCTTCTCAGTCCCACACTAACTGAGGATCAGGAGCTGAATGGAGATAAGGGGGTGGGGGGGGAGGCTTTAGGGAGCATCTCTGGAGGGAGACCTCTGACTGATGGAGGTTGTGCTTAGTGTAGCTCTGACTACATCCCTTCTTCTCCCACCCCCTGACCCTGGCATAGGAAATCAATGAGGAAAAGGAAGGGATGTGGAGAAGACAGAAGCATAAGAATCCCGGCAATCTTTAGTTTCTGAAATTTGGCTGAGTTGAAATTAACAAACAAGTTAAAGCTTCATCACCTCCTTCCCCCAGCCCCCAGGTCTGCATAGTCAAATATGATCCCAGAATGCATAGTGTTACCACGAGACTGGGAACCTTCTTTTTTTTTTTTTTT